CCAGCGGAACTTGTAATTTATTTACGCGAGACACGCGCGCGCGCGAGTATTCGGGCCGTGCCGAAAGAATGTAACCGACTATTATTGACGGAGCGCAGATAACGCCACCGAAATACTCGGAGCACACGGCTGCGGCCGGCCGGCATTTAATCTCGTTCGCGAGATCCCGTCCAAGTCGCGGTTGGTTTCCATGACGCAGGCACTCATCCCGCTTACGTCAGTCGCCATAGTCTTCGACGGCACGTATCGCGCGACAACGTAGGTGTCGTTGGCACCACCGATATCGGCCAGATGACACGACGTTCCGAAGAAATACGGCTTATCTACCCCCTCCCCGAGCGCGTAATTTCGAGCTTACACGATAAGGTGACGGTGCGTAGGACAGCCAACGTCGGAGCGAGCTATGGTTAAGCATCGGGTGTCGTTCAATAACGGGTCATTATCAACAACCATCGTCCGACCGGGACCATTATCTCGACGAACAATTCAATGCCCGTCCGCGCTGTGTGTGATTCGTGATTCTTGCGAGCTTCTTTTTACTTTTTACTACGGCGATATTATTCGATATTCGCGCGAGAGAGACAAACGTCAGTCTCGCCTCTCTCGCCTCATCGCGTGGAAAGCGGAAAACGAGGAACTCTGAATGTCGAGCTGAATTTCGAGGAGCGCGCGATATCTCCGCCAGTCGTCAGAAGTTTTAAGCTCGCGTTTTCCTTCAGCAGGAATTTCAGTTCTCGTTCTTGTTTGGATTCTTACGCGAGAACGTTGACTGAAGGTTGGTCCTCAGGTCTCTCGCATCTTGAAGTTACAACAACGACATCGAGGGTACTTGCAACATTAGAAGCTATTTATGAGTTGTCAGAGGAGGAGGTGTGTGTCACCCGCACAGAAACGTAAACACGCGCGCACAGTCACAGCCGAGAAATTTTTCGTCCTGAAATATGAAATCATACGACAAGTCTCTGCATATTCATGCGGTTGAAGCAATGTAATGAGTGTCAATCGAGACAACTTGTGAAAATTAAATTACAATTCAACCTTGTGCCACACACAGCAGGTGGACAGACTATATCTTACGATGCGACTTTCCGCGTCACCTCTCTGTGCGCACGAATCGAAAATCGGAATCGCGCTTTCATAAATCGCGGACTTATTTCTCCAGGAAGGACCTCCAGGAAGAAGCTCGATCGACTCTTTTCGAAATATCGTAAAACCGAAACCGCAATCATGAAGGCACGTGCGCCCGCTCGCCGGAAGCGCGGGACGTTGTGTCGGCTTTCGGACGCAAAATTTTCCGCGCGTTCCCCGCGCGGCTTTCCAACGTGGAAATATCGACGAGCGGCAAATCTCTTCAACGGGGACCGCGGCCCGCCGGCAATGTTACGCGGCGCTCCCTTTTACTCGAGGATCGCGCGCCGCGATCCTCGAATGGAGAGGAGGTGTCAAGTGCGCGCGGCGTGAACGTACCTGCAATGTTGCTACGCGCGCGCGCCGCCTGTCGGCGTCGAAGTACCGCACGCGCCATTCGTGAAAACTCGCAAATTTGCACGTCCGTATCTCGGCGCAAAATCGACGTAGACATGTGAAACAAATGCCACTCTCCCGTATCGCGCGCGCGTCCTCGCGCATCTCGCGCGTTCGAGCCGCGTCTTGCTGCGACGCAGCTTTTCACGCGCTACGTCCCGCGTGTGTCGGCGTAAAAAAAATACCACGGTATTTTTTTCGAACAAGGAAGCCAAGCGCACGACACGATCCTTGTCACGCGAAACAGCCAGTTTCAAGCGCGTATTTTGCCGGAACGAGAGAGTTCAACGGATCGTCAGATCTCGATGGCGGGAAAAGCTCGGTACGTCGTGTAAAAATGGAAGAATAACAGTGAAAAATAATAACGGTTCCCGTGGAAAATAACATTCTATAAAAGTGGAGATCGCGGTTGAACGGTTTTTTCTCGGGCGACTCCTTCTCCTCCTCCTCCTCATCCTCCTCCTCCCTCTCTCCAGTCCGTGAAATTTCGAACGCTTGACGTGGCGGTCGCCTCGGGCCGGGCGAATTAAAATTCCGTCGAATCGAAGAGTTTAATCGCACGTGCTTGGGATTAAACGAAGATCAACGGGTCACAGCACCTACGTGTGTTCGCTCGCACGCATGTACGGACGCGACACGTAGCTTCTTAGGGATACTTAACATCGCCGTTGCTTATAATGCAACGAGTATATTAATGCCTCGGCATTCTTTTCAGCTTGTGAACCCTGACACCTGCGTACGATGTGCTTCCCGGCACAGCACGCTGTATTTTCACAAGAGCGCGACGCGCGCTGACCGACGCAGGTGGCTCGGACGTGGAAACGAGTGTAACGCAGACGAGTGTCTGCACGCGTCTACCTACACACGTGGCCACACGTGGATGACGCGCGAACAAATCCGTACAGATCGATTGGCGGTGTCAATGGCCGGTGCGCGATGGCTCGTATCGTCGAGATGCGAAATCGCGTTTCGTCGAGACACTCGAGGAAGGAACGGCCGGCCCGAGGAGGAATTTCCGCAGAATATCGTTTCACCAGAAACTTGGGCAAACTCCAAATCTGTTCCGGATAAAAAATTACGTCGATAAGGGGTGGGCGTATTTTTGCAGGGATTGTTTCTACAATCACTCCTGGCACAATGACATAAAATAAAAAATAATATATACGTAACGTAGATAATAGTGTATAAAAATATGAATGAAATGATACAATGTGGGATATGAGTACATGTCTGATGCTGTGTGTAATATGAAAAGAGGGGAATAAGATAACGTAAACGATATAGAGAACAAAGAGTAAACTAAACGGCGATAAGCGTTATTTCATCGTCAAATTTCCTAAAACGAAACTCGCGCCGACACCAAATGTTCAATGATGAGACTTCTTCGATCACAAGTGCACACCACCGATCGGTCGCAACGCGTACGCGTGTATGTGTTTTAATTGACGCCTGCCGATAGAGAGAGACAGGCCGTCAGTTTCTATCTTATCTCCGGCGCGACCATGAATCTTTCGGTGGTAGTTTCAAGGGGATACAAATAAAGCGTATCTATGTAAGTCTAATTATCAGGGAAACGCGAATGCGGCGGGAGCGAGGGAAGAATACGCACGTATTCGGCGGCGGCGAGACACCTGTGTACTCACGATAACGAACATCGTGACTCCACGTGTAGTTACGCGAGATCTGCAGATCGCGTGACATGCTTCGCCACCTGCGAATCTCGAAACTTCGAGGGGGGACCATGAATGAAGCACGTGCGCATCGTTACGTCGTCCGAAATTCGAGACGTATTTTATTCCTCTTTTTATATTACTTATGTAAAATCAGATGTACTCGTGTAGCCAGCCCCCCCCCCCCTCCCACTTTATATCATTTTATATTCGAATTTTTCGTATTTTATTTATGTCTTACATATATATTACTTTCTATTTTTATGTTACTGTATCAGAAGTGACAACGTGAATGACAGAGGTTCGTAGAGATAATCACTGCACAGTGGCGAGAATACATTCATCTCTTCCTGACGTAATCTTCTATCCGGAATAAATTTGAAATTTGTGCACTTTCGGTGAAACGATACTTCAAAAATTCCTCCCGAACGAATCGACGGACGTAATCACGACGTCCGTTGAAATCGGATATTATTTTCTGGAATAATATCACGAGTCATCTCTCCGGAATATCCCCATTCATTACAAATAAGAAAGAACGAGAAAAAAAGAGGAAAACAGAGAGAAGAGTTAAACAAAGAAGTTGATTGCTCATCGCAACGCTCACGGATGTCGAGGTTTCAATCGATAATTCCGAGTTCGTCATCGGGAGGAGCAAGTTTAAATTCCCGGCGCGTTTATCGCTTCTGCGCTTTTCTGTTTTTTTTTTTCCTTCGATTTACCATCGTCGCACTCTCCATTGTTCGTACGACGCGCATAAGCGTTCGCCCGTTCGCGGGGCAAGAGTGTTCACCTTGCGCGCGACGGACTCGCCGAGATCGTCATTTATCATCTCTCGTAGTCGCGCGTGAATTACGAAGCGAGTAACGACGATGTTGTCGTTCGCGCGTCGTCTCGCGGTGCAGCAGGCCGGCCGACATGGCAAGCCGCCTCTTTGCACACGTGCACGTGACATTGTAAATGGCATAATGACTTGTACTTCACTCTATACTGATTTCTACACGCGTGACGCGAATGACGCCGCGGTCGCGACTACCAAGCGAATACGTTCCGACGCATCATGACTCCGCCGTTTGCGCCAACGGAGAACACACGTGCGGCGGCGGCGGCGGCGCTCATGAAAAAAAAAAAATACATCGCTTTGCCGTTTCTCCCGCTCTTTTATTCATCCCCGCGTGTATATCGCGTGATCAGCTGCAAAACGAGCGCGAATCGCCGGAACGAGAGCGCCGCGCCGCCGCCGCCGCCGTGTCGCGCGTAATGCTGCGAGAAAAACCAAATATTTATCGTCGTTTTCGTCGTTTTTCGTTGTTGTAATATTTATCACGGCCATACGTAGTATTTGCGACCAACTGCGCGTGTTTCAGCTCCGTTTTATATTTGTCAAACACACCAAGGGAAAGAAACACGCGGCGCATCGACGGCAAGGACGACCCGCAGCAAAACTTTCCCCTCGCCCGGAAAGCTCCCGGTAAGCAAACTTTTAGCTCGTGTCATTGATAATACTAGCCACTAGGAGGTGAGCTAACGATTACGACCGATTACAGCACTATCAGGCCGAAGGAACTTTCTCGTCAAGCAAATCTCTCCTTCCCCGTGGCCTGTCTTTCGTAAGCACGAGCACGTTCTTTCTCAGAAAGAGACAATAAATCGCCAAGACGCAACTCTCGCTCAATCAAGAACGAGACATAATCGGCTTTCGCCTGTTCAAGCTCCTTCACATCTCACACACACGCGCACGCAGCACACGCAGGTACAACACACAGGTATGCGTATACGCGCGTACATAAGCATACACGCACTTACCTCTCGTATTTCACCTGCATCGAGTTGTCCTCCCAGTAAGTCTGCTTGACGAGCGATTGACAATCCATCATCTTGCCGCATAGAACGGCGGTGGTACCGCTGCCGGAGTCCCGCTCGACGATCACTTCCGCGCCCGCTCCCCCTCGGCGGCTCCTTATCTCCTCTAACGTTCTTCTCGTCGCAGCGCGCTGCACGCTACTTCACGACTCGCTGTGGCGCGCGTCGCGGTCGCGAACGTGAGAAGACGTGTGCCGCAAAAATCGCTCCGGTGCCGCGCGGCGCTCTGCACGCGCGAGTCGTGCGACCGACGTAGAAGAGAACGTGAGCACGAGCACGCGTCACGTGACAGCTCACGGGGGGACGAGACCGAGAGGAGAGAGAGACTCGTCTTTTCTCCCGAGCTCTTGCCTCGCGACAGCGGACGCCGCCGATCACTCCCGTTGCGAGAGCGAGCGAGCAAGCGCGCGCGCGCGCGCGAAAGAGAGAAAGAGAGAGAGAGAGAGAGAGAGAGAGTGCGAGAAGGACAGAGCGACTCTCGAGTCCAGCCGACCGAACGCAGCCTGCGTATCCGGCGATCGTCGTTGAATCCTCCCGTGCGTAACGACGCTCGCTCGATCGATCGCGCCGGCGAAATGCGCGTAGGAAGAACCGGCCGAATGAACGAACGGACGAACGATAATGCGACGAATGTACGTATGTCCGTGTACAACGATACGTCACCACACGACACGCGGCCAGAAGACGCGAAGGCGAGACAACGACGGCGCGCATGCGCGCGAGAAAGAGAAAGAATGAAAGAGAGAAAGAGAGAGATCAGGTTAGACGCGCGTTCACGGGCTCACTGACACACTCACGAGGAGACGACGGCCAACGCTCAGGAATTCGTCCACGACACTTCGCCCGACTCCGCTCGAGTGCAATCCCACGGCGCGCGATGTCCGTACTGGCGCCCTCTTTCTCCTACCTCCCACCTTCCCGCGCGCGCTCCCTCGCTCTCTTACTCTCGCGCCGTCTCCCTCGCTCGCTCTCTCGCACTCTCTCCCTCTTTCTCTCTCCCTTTCGCCGCGCACTGCCGTGCGAACGCGAGGTGCACGAGCGAGTCGCACCGCTCACTGATTCACGCCTGCCGGCCGTCTCGTTTCGCGAACGATCCACGCGAACGATACGATCGAAGATTCGCAAGAATGTGCAGTCCGTCTCTCTCGATCGACGGCGACAGTCCGTCCGATTTATCTTATCCCCGTCACTCATTCGCCCTCTTTCCTTCTCTCTTCATCTCACTCCCTCTCCCCCCCTCTCTCTCTCTCTCTCTCTTTCTCTCTCTAGTTTCGTCGAGATATACTTCTTAGGTTATCTCCCTCGACTCTCTTTCGGCGGTTAAACTCGTTTGCTTTCCGCCTCGCCGTGTGCCGCTTCCGTCGTCCGCGTTCCCTCTCTCTCTCTCTCTTTTTCTCTATCTTTATCTTTCTCCACCGACGATCGCGTTCCGATTCTTACGATAAATGGGCCGTTCCGAGCGTTTCCCAGGCGCCCAAGTCGCATGTACACTTGCTCACCTGCTGCGAGTTTTCTCGCGTCACGATTCCGCCAGTTGCTGGGGAGTTCTCACGCTTTCGGCGCGCCAACGGCAGCGTGCGAGAACGCAACGTTATCGCGGAGGTCCTTCGTCGAGAACGCGCGCGCGACGTCTTCGGCCTCGGCCGAGCGTCTCCGAGCGGGAAGAGAGAATCCGGCGCGCAAAGGACCGCGATCGGGGCGCGACTCGGAGAATTCGGCGCGAGTGCGAGCCGAAGGGCAGCCGGATGCCCGGCGACGCGACGAGCCGAGCGACGCTGATAAGGCCGTTGACTCGCGTTTGGCCACGAAATTCCGCGATACCATCAGGGCCGTAAAAGAAGACACCGGTCTCCGGACAACTCTCGCGCGCGCGCTTCGAGTCCGCCATGTCCGTTCGTTCGACTGCTCTCTCGTCCGTCGTACCGCTCTCGAACCCGAAGATCCTCTCGAGAGAATATCGCGAGAATCTCGCAATCGATAGTTTTAGACGCGGCGATAACTTCACGGGGCACTGTTGAACTCTGCTCACGGCTCCTTGAGAGCGGTCAGTACTTGAGATTTTCGCGTTTTCTCCGATTCGTTGGATATTACTGATTCAACGAATATATACGATACGCATAACGATAAGAATAACGCAGGAAACGCCTAATTTGATGTCCAGCAGCCGCTTATTACGAAGAAGAAGAAGAAGAAGAAGAAAAAGCCTAACTTCAATCGGCGCTCGACGCAACGGTCGCACATAACCTGCTTTCTAGGAGAGTTTCGATGTCGTAGCCCGGGATAAAATTGCTCGGACAATGCGGATGCAACATGGCTGCGGAGAACGCGGGTCGTCGCCTCGGCGAGTTACGTCTGACGAAGCGCACATCGCGAGATCTTCGCTGGCGAGAGAAAATCCGACTGCGACGATCTGAAAATTCGGTATGCATGTGAGTAGAATTTTGACTGAAACACGCGTTGACCGCTGTAACGACGGACATGGTAACAAGCGTGGGAAATTCAACAAAATCTTCGACCAACTGACGCACGTGTTACGTCACAATTACGTACGGAAACATATTATGCGCTCGTTTTGTTTCATCCTTTCTTTTTATCGCGTCTGTTCTTTATTGCTAGACAACTTGCGCTTTCTGTCTTTGCAGCGGGACACGTGTATGACCTATAGCATTTTTTATCGCGCATGAATATATCATAAGCATTCAGTTTGATCCAGACATATTTTAAATCCTGGTTTAGTAAGTTTAATATGTCAATGAAAAATGTTAAATTAAAACGAAAAGTCGCTTCGCTAGCTACACAGAGAGCGTAAGCTTTATAATAACTCTGAAAAAAAAGAATTCTTTTTTTAATTAATTTAGAAAGAACAGGCCTATTGTATACACACTCTTGGTGTGTACGGAATAAAAAAAGACACAGTTCTTCGTCAAATCTATTTGTAACTTTCAAAACGAGAGAAAGAGAGAGAGAGAGAGAGAGAGAGAGAGCGAGAGAGAGAGAGAGAGAGAGACCAGTTATTCCTTCACGTGTTATCAAGACTTTAAAAACAATCTCATTGAGTTTTATTATCTCGATTTATGTTTCCTCGTACCTGACTGAACCGTCCATTTGCATGCGTACGCACACTCATTCACACATTTTTGTCCGATATAAATCAAAACAAATATTGATATAAAACTTAGAAATAGAGCGTCGTGTGCTACAAGAATAAGCAGTATTTTTCGCAAGCATTAAATAACGATAACGGATAAGAAAGCCGATCGAAATTCGGCTGTAGAAGAGGTGCAAGCAGCACTGACGAGGCCGCCTGTTAGGCGGAATTCAGCATGAATGTGCCGTTTATGAATCACAGGCCTGGATCACAAGTTTCGAACGTGCATCGACACGAATGCGCGATGGCGGTGAGCTCGGCCACTCGCTCGCTCGTTCACGACGGCGGCCAGTTCGCGCCGGAGCGCGATAATGCCGAGCGCTCTTGACACGTGTCGATAATAGTACGCGAAACGATAGCGCATCTGAAAATAGTTTTGCGGCGGGATGCGTGCACGTGCACAACGTGCGCGCACCGCCGAAACAAAAACAAACCCCCCTCCCCGCGGAGGAGGCGCTCGCGCAACGCGATAGCGCTGTCGCGTGATATCTCGCTATCCGTCACGTCGCCGGTCTCGAAATTCGAAAAATTCGCACCGCTCGCGCAAAACGTGACGAGGCTGTATCGAACAACGATCCTCATCGGCTGATCGCTCCCCTCACCGCCGCTGTTGAGCCTCAATACCGGAGCACCTATGTATCGTTACTCATCGTTCTCCGTATCGTCGGCAAGGTGAAATTCGCGGCTGAACTTATCTCTCAAGTACATCTCGCACGGCGAACGCAATAGGCAGACGCTCGATGACGCGAGCTCGCGACGATCGCTCGCGCGAAATCGCAACGTCGTTGTCGGCTGGGATCTCCTCGGGAGAGAATCCTTCCAATGGTGGGACAGACATTGCGCACGTGCCCGATGCACGTCCCGCCGAGGAGAGACAACCGAAGGACTCGTCAGTCGAGGAGTTTATATGGTAATGTGAAATCGTTGTGCGTATCTCGTCCAAATAATCAGATTTCTCACGAGATACCGAGATGGGGGAAACTCACATAACACACAGGGAGAAGTATGATTCATCGAAAATCGACTGAACTTTGGGAGCAGACGGCTTCGGCAGGGAAAACCCATCGACGATGGACCGAAGTGAGCGCAACGAGCGTAAAGCCCGTGTCACCCTACGGGTTGAAGATCAAGGATTGCGGATTGAAGATTGAAATTTGACCAATCGGAAGAAAGCGAATCAAAACCGAAGTTCCGTTGATTTGTCGAAATCTAATCTTCAATCCGCAATCCTTGATCTTCAATCTGTAGTGTGACACGGGCTTAAGGGATACACGCGAACACGCGAGCAAAGTAACGTCGCGCCATCGAGGGTCAAGTGTTAACCGCGATCGTCATCGTCACGCAGCGTACCAGCGTTGAGGTGCAAGGTGCCTTGCGTCAGGAGAAAGAGAAAGAGATACAGCGAGAGAAGGAGAGCGGGGAGGAAGAGAGAAAAAAGCAGAAGGTGAGAAAAAGAAGAAAGAGGAGAAGAAGAAGAAGAAGAAGAAAAATATCCCGGTGCTTTCCAGGTGAAAGTCAGCGTCGAGGCGACGAGGGGGCGAAATGGGGACTTGAGACGCTACTGATCCAGGCACGAACAGAATTTGCACAATGGTGTGCGCTGGTGGCGGCGACGGCCGTGGTGGTGGTGGTGGCGGCGGCGGCGGCGTGGTGGTGATAGTCACGGCGAGGAAGGTGAGTTGTGATCACTCGGCCGCGCGCGGTGGGGAGCGTGCGGCGGTTACCACGCTATGCGACACGTGCGCGTGACGTCACGGGGCCGGTCACGCGAGCACCGTGTGCTCCCGGTCACGTGTCCTGTCACGCGCTCTCCGTTCCATTCCTCCCTTCCTCTCGCTCTGCCGGCCGCGTTGCCGGCCGGCACAGCGACGGCGGCTCACAGCTCTCCTTTCTCGTCGCAACTACTCCTTTCGAACGTGCACGTACATACATGTCGCCGCCTCTTTCATGCGAGCCGATTACGCTCCAAGTGCATGTTCTTCTTCTCCTCGCCCCCTTGCCGCCTCGTCTCTCCTCGTCCGTTCCTCGTCCGCTCCTCCGCCGCCGTCGCCGCCGCCGCTGCCGCCGCCGCCTCCCGCTCCGCTCGTCCCACCCGCTTCCTCTCTCGTAACGCGCTTTAAGGTCGCGCTCTTTTTTTATCCTTCTCAACTTTGGCGTTAACGCTCCTCACGCACTTTGCGATTATCTGCCGCTCCTCAGCAGTCTCCATCGCGTGAGCCGCGATTTTGCGAGCGGAGCTTGCCGCGTATATTTGTATGTTTTTCTACATTTGTATGTTCTACTTGAGACTTTATAAATAAAGATAACCTTTTCTCCCCTTTGTGGGACGTGCGTGCGCGCATACGCGCGTGTTGCGCGCCGTGTTTTGTGTTTCAAGCGGCTAATTAAAATTCCGCATTAATAAAACAAGAAAAAGCGATAACGGCGCGACAGCGGTATTGTTTATATTGATTCGCTCGGGATACGACGTATCTGAACGTTTCTTGAAAGTCGAAAAATCAGACGCCGTGAATAATAATATACAATATATAAATAACAGATACACGCAAGATATATAAATATATAAGTAGGTAATTTAAATATTTAAAGAATAATAGTACCTCTCGAGAATGACACCTCTCGAGACGCGTGACTTGTTTGGCTCATATGCAAATCTTGGTTAATATCCCGCGACCTAACTTGTTTGCGGGCAACGTTGCTCCCTCTCTCTCTCTTTCGCTCTCTCTCTTGTCGTAGACTCACAGCCTCTTCTCCCACTTTGCATACAATGCTGAAGACCACGTGCGTTGCGCAACGTTCTCCGGCGCGTTGCGCGCGTTCTTCTCGTCGTTAATTGCCCGAGATGTTCCTCCCGATCGTTACTGCCGCTCGGTCTGGCCGAGATCTTCGGAGACTGAACGCCGCCGCAGAACGGTCGCGAGGGCAAAGGGAAACGGGTCGAGAAAGAGGAAAAAGGAAAAGAGACCGATTTTTCCCTCAACAGGACATTTTCCGCTGATCACGGGGGCAGCATGACGTCGAGCTCCGCTCGGACTTATAACGTAACGCGCGCTCTTTGTGAAAGAGCGATTGATCGCGCGGATATAAATACGACGATGCTCTCTAAGTTTGCGCGCAGCACGTGCGTCCCGCCCACGCGTGCGTTATTTCCACAACGTGAGAAGTTCAGTTAGAATGAAAAAAGGGGGCGAGCGCTTACGTCGCGAGAGAGCGGCCGGCGCTCTCCGATCAGTCGGCTGAGGGATGAAGCGAGGGGGAAGAGCAGGAGCGCTCGTGGGATTTTCAGGTTCAAGTACGGAGGCGAGAGTGCATCTTGGGAACGCGAGGACCTATCGGACGTTCCTTCGCGCGGGAATAGGAACGGCAGGACGAGAAGGGCACGTCGTCGTGACGCGCTATAATTATACACGCCGCGCGAGGGAATATTCTAATTCGCCAAGGACAAACGAACGAGCGGCTTGACGGGAGCTTTTCAAGCGGTAAATCGCGACGCAGGCCGGGCACATCGCCGATATAGAATGCCGAAGAATTCGTATCGTATCGAATTCCGCGGTTTCTCGGGGGTCGGGGAACGACCAGCGCATGAGAGCGGGAGCGAGAGGAGGACAAGAAGGAGCGCGAGTAAGACACCAAGTTCAGCTCTCACCGTGATCAGCAAGGTGCATTTTAGGTGGTGTCAAGACGTATGAAACCGGACACATTTGACCTTGAGCAGCGTTTTAGAGCTGAACGACCGCTGAGGACGAAATACCTTGGAACGTCGCAAGTCGAGATCGGTGGGAGAGATAATTTCTCGAAGAATTTAGAGCAATGGACGACGACGAACGAGAGATTTCTTCATTTCCGTCGTTAGGATACGCAAAAAAGCGAGCATAAATCGCAACAGTTAATAACTGTGGCTCGTGTCGAGGAATGATACGCGATCCATTTTGTTGTGATTCATTTCGCACTTTTTTGAAATGGACAGAATTTTACTATCATTATATTGAACTCTTATAATGAGAGAGAGAGAGAGAGAGAGAGAGAGAGAGAGAGAGAGAGAGAGAGAGAGAGAACGCCCTTCTCTCGACGATTCTAGAATCCGCTGGTCTCGATTAAGGTGCAGTTTGACGTTAGCAATTCAGGTGTCGTCTTAACGAGTGAAACGTCGATAGTCGAAAAAATCGCCGAGGGAATGTCGTCACTATTTAAAGGCACTCTGATATTTATTGCCGCGCATTCCTGTCCGTCTGCCTTCTGTTTTAAAACGCCACGCAGCTCAGCACGACGCACGATCGGTCG